GGGCGGATAGCAATAACTGTGCCAGATAGCGTACAATTGATATTCGCAGAGGTAAACCTCGTCAGTCCATATCCAGAATCCATGTTGAAAGTGTATTCTCTTCAGTCTCTGTCAATTTTCGACAATTGGCGATTGAATCTTTGCGAGAAGTAGTCCCACTGACACGTGTTATTAAGGTGCTTTTAGGCACGTCAAATGCATCTGCAGCCTTTTGGATTGATGGAAATTGGCCCTTTTTATAGGCCTGAAGGGCCAATTGAAGACGTTCCTCCCTAGATATATCGGCCATTAGGTGGTGGTGGGTGGTGGTGGTAGTAATAGTCAAAAACTCGGTGTTGGTGTTGTGGCTGACCAGCTCGGTGGTGTGACCAGCTCGGTGGTGGATTACGTTATATATAGTAGATTAGGTAAACCTTGCTGGTATGTACAGTATTTCCCCTTTGCACTTTGCACTTTGCGCCTGCTAGGCTAGGGTTTCTGAATTGAAATAAAATATATACCTGGTAGGATTCGGATCAAAAAGTCGGGTGTCGACAGACTGTCGGACTGATAGACATGAGCTGTTTGACACATTGCAATAATAATAAAAATAGCTAGTCTCCAGCGCATCTGCTCAGTGACAAGTAGTCATTTATTGATTGCTTTGTAGGTTAGGTAGTAAGTAAGTAAAGAGCTCAACATGGTCTTGTCTTGTCTCAGATGAGAGAAAAAAAAGTAAGGGCTTTTTTTTAGCTAAATCATAGTCATCGGTTATACATACCCCAATCAAATTTTTTAATTTTAATTAATTAAAGTCACTATAACTGTATATCTAGTAGATAAATCGTAGAGATACGCATGGTATTTATCATATGTTATATAAGACAAGCATAGAGGCATTATTCGTTTTGTTTTTTAAGAGAAAAGAAATCTGTACATACGTCTTTACAGTTAGTTATTTTTTTTTCTGCGTTGAGCAGGAAAATGAGGGGAAAGAATAAGAAGGAGAAATTAGAATTTCTTTCTTTTCTGCTCATTTTCGTATGAAGACTGTTAACATAAACTCTACATACTCCGTATAATATGATTGATTGATAGATAGCGATAACTCGCTGCGCACCTGTTACGCAAGACCGCAATCGTGTTTATGTATTTTCCATTGCAAAAAGAAAAAAAAAAGAAACCTTATATTTGTGTGATTTTGAATAATTTTACAGGATTGTTGGAAAAATTAGAAAAAAGCAAGAAAAAAAAAGGAGGAAAAAAGGAAAACGAGAGAGGGGGAAAAGAGAGAGAGGAAGAGGAAGAGGAGTAGCAAGCAAGGTATGGAACGACAGCAACAATAACGAAATAAAAACACCTCCCCTTTTGGGCAATCAACATCACATACTTGCAATAAATGAGACGATTCGAGTTGATGCAGATAGGATGATTATCGCATCTTACGTCTCTGTTTGGAGCACTCCCACAGCAATCCACTTGATATGCCAGTAGTATATATATACTATACATGCTGCTTCGCACTCATGGCCATCATCCCCTCAGTCGACTTGTTGTAATCGTCATAGGTGACAGTGACCTCCTGCGTCTGGTAGATGGTGGTATTGTTGGCGCGGCTCTCGCGCAGGATGCTGCGGCCATCGCTGCTGTTGTCATTGTCGTGGTCGTCGTTCTTGGGCGTGTGCTTGATGACCGTCTTGGACGCGCCCATGGGATTCATGCTGTAGTTGTACGTCGGGTCCTCTTCGTCACCGCCATCCCTGCCCGTCAGCTTGACGCTGCGCTTGGTGTATGAATAGTGATATCCGCCGCTGTTGCCGCCATCAGCCCCCGAACTCTGCCCCGTTAGGTGTTTGTACAAGGGCCGCAGCGCGGGAATGCTGACGCAGATGATGGTCACGGTCATTTCGCTGTTTGTCCACATGACGGAGCCGGTTGTTGCGTCTGTCAGCCACAATAGTCAGTTTATTGTTTATTGTTCAATCGAGAATGACATTGAGATGGGATGCTGCCTACAAAGGTAATCGGATGTCTCGCTCAGGACTTTCAACCCCGATGTCCGAATGATACCGCAAATACCAGCACTAGAGAAGACATAAGTATCATATTAGACCCTGGAGATATCGAGGTTATGATATCGAACGTACAACACGCCCAAACTCAACGACATGCAGATCGTAATCCGCTCCTTGCGCTTCATGTTCAGGTTCCACAGCGCGACCCAGGGGAAGAAGGCCAGGACGAAATCCAGCACGGCGGACCACGCTATCTACCGGTCAGCGCATCGATCTCGGTCTCATTCGTGGGCGAATGGCCACTGGCTTACCGCACATGATGGTGGCGACGGTGGTCAAGTCCAGGATGCAGTACTTTTTCGGAACGCGGGGATCCCAGATGGACTCGACCGGCACGCACTGAATGTAGAGGCAGATGCAGAGGAAGATGCTCAGGGCCATCATGGAGATGATCCAGAACCAGAGGAACATTTGATGCCTGCAGTTCGTCTGTCAGTGGACAGGACAAGAGATATCAATGTTAGATCCCACCATTTCTTGACGAGAATCCGCATCAAGAACACCACCACGGCGACTTTGCTGATTCCCATGGCCAGGGAGACGACACTCTGCCCGATGACGAGGATCTTGATGCCGGTCGCGATCTCGTCGATGGTCAAATACTGGACGTGGACGCCCATGCCGTACGTTGCGGCCGCGGTACACAGGCCGGCAAACGTGGTCATCAAGATCTATGCATTCTCATCAGACCGCGCAGACCAGACACTTGCGTATGTACATACCCAGGTGACGATTATAAGATAGTCATCCGCACCGACACTCGCGCGGAGGACGGTTCGAGTGTACAGACGCAGGATGATGACGGCGAGGTTGAGAACGACCTCGAACCAGAGGACGCCAACGAGCGTCGGGCCTTCTCCTCGGAGTGCCATGGTCGACTAGACAGAAGGAAGGTACGATATCAATCTATCTGCGAAGGACACGCAGACACTTTTTTTTTTCTTCTTCTTTTGTCGAAAGACAGTGTTTCCTCTCCCCATCCGGCTGCGATGCGATGGACTAGCTGAGATATGTGTATAGATATGGCAAGCATAGCATCACCTCAAACCCCTGCAACCGTTAGGGCTGCTGAATTAGGCCGTTGGAGGTGTAATTAGTCCTGCTGGCCTTGTCTCAGCCGTGCTCATTGGCCAGGGCAGACGAGACGACTGACGACCGGACAAGCACTTCCGTAACGCTGGGTCGGTCTGCTGGGGATATTTGACAGGGGTCTAGACAGTCGGTCTGGCCGTTGTGCTGGAGACCGGTGGATACTGCCTCTTGGTCTGGCAAGGAGTCGGCTCTGGCGCACTGATTCGGCGTTCGGAGGGCAGTTGATCATTGCCCTAGTTGCCTATAGTCCTCTTCTATTAATATTGGTCTTATAGTAACGGTATTATTATTACGGAGTCACGAGTGGCAGACAGATTCTGCAGAATACTTCGTCCGTACTATCGCTAAGCTTGCCTGCAGACTGGTCCGCTGCTGGCCATGATTATCGCCGCCGTCACAACGACTGCCCCGGCAGGATTCACACGATAAGTTATAGCAGTGATCGTCCTCCGGAAGGAATCTGCCATGGCTCCGGAGTGTTGGGTCGAATTTCACTCCCCGCGTTAAAGGAGAGAGTGTGTCTGCAGCATCACTCAGGCAGGATGCTCGTCAGGCAAGCTCAGGGGTTAGCCGTCACCGGTATGCAGCGACTTCAGGTAACGGTTTTAACGCAAACAATTAGTCTGACGACGCTTCGTAAGAAACAAAGACAAGTGTGATGTTAGTTATAGACATTAGTAGTGATGTAACTTGTAAGCTATACAGATATCTAAACAATAACCCCACAACTAAGCTAACAGTGTGAAGGATACAAAAAACACGTCTTTTTAGCGCGTCATTCGGCTCAGAGAGGCCTCTGAGCCCCTAAAAACCACCATGGAACCTCCCGATCCCCATGGTGGTGGTGTTATTCACGCGTCACCCCCGGCAAACGGCCACGCGGCAAGCCAGCTCACGGAAATCCTGGAGGTACCAGACACCCCAACCCCAAGCCGATGGAACATCACTGGACCTCTAGGGCTTGATATGAATGAGAATGATCAGGAAATGACCCAAAAACCGAAGCAGAACCCTCGAAAGGCACTAGAATCCTAGGGAATAGCTGGATACGAGGTCAGGCCAGCAAGAGCCATGGGATTGTCAAGCCGCAACGAC